AACATTTATTTTTTTCTGTCCAGACAAAATCTTTGTTTCTGCTTCCAAGGGTGCACTATCTTGCCATACTAAAATGAAAAAAATACATTTAACCATTACTTTCCAGGACACTCAAAATACTCATAGTCTGATGGTGTTTTTTCTTCAAACTGCTTCTTCAAGTGTACACTTGTTTGGCAAAACGTATTGTGGTGGTCCGCGTTGTGTGTGTTTTAATATTGTTTTTAAGCATTAATGTTTATTTGGCTTACATCTCTTTTACAGTACACTTGAAGAAGCCCCATGCTTGGCAAAAAACGTGTTGCATAAGTTTTAATATTGTTTAATTTGGCTTACACCTATTTTATAGTGCAATACCATTTATTATACTTTTTATGTTTTTATTGTTCCTGGCACATTTAAAAACTCCTAATGAATCAACTCTACTCTACAGCCAATACCTGACAAGGACTGCGCTCAGGAGAATATATTCAACATTATATCCTTGGTGGGGATCATACCACCCAAGCGCTATCTCTTAAACGGTGTTAGTGCTCTATTAAATGTGAGTATTTTACTACTTATATTTTTACCTGTTTTTGGTTTTACACAGTAAGCACAATTGTTTGCTTTTTATGTTTTACTATTTTATATTCATCTGGATGCTGTGAGACCAGGGGCATACCTAGAGCATTTTGGCACCCGGGGCGGATCCTGTGCTTGGCTCTAGCTGCAGTCTGGCTCCACTGGTCTGGTGCAGAACAGGCTCTCTGGAGGCGGTTTGTAACTGTGGTCACAAAAATCAATGTTCTGGGAGAACGGGAAGCAGCTCCATTTTTTGGGTTACACAGCTCAAGGTCTGGGTCCCAGGGTCCACCTTCATGTTCCACCAATGAGTTTGTTCACAGGTGGTGGAGTGTGTAGGGGATGTCCTGATATGTGTGTAAGGAATGCATTGTGTGAAATTGTGTTTGTATGTGTAAGGACTGCAAGGTGTGTTTCTGTGTATGTATGGGATGCATTGAATGTGTGTAAGGGGTGCATTAAGTGTGTGTAATGAATGCATTGTGTGTTTCTGTGTGTGTAAGGGATGCATTGTGTGTAACGGTTGCATTGCTTGTGTATGTGTGTCTGTGTGTTTTTCTGTGTGCAAGGGGTGCATTGTGTGTATGTGATGAATGTCAATCTCTCCTCCCGCTCCAATTTCCTTCTCCTCCTCCCAATTTCTCTTTCTCACCCCCTCCTAATTTCACTCACCCACGCTCCTATTTTCTCTCACCCCCCTCCTTTCTCTCTCACCCACCTTCTTTTTCTTTCTCACCCACCCCCCCTTTTCTCTTTCTCACCCACCCCCTTATTTCTCTCACCCCCCCTTATTTCTCTTTCTCACCCCCCCTTATTTCTCTTTCTCTCCTTTCTCTTTTTCACCCCTTTCTCTTTCTCACCCACCCTTATTTCTCTCCCCCCTATTTCTCTCACTATTTCTCTTTTCTCACCCCTTATTTCTCTTTCTCACCCCTTATTTCTCTTTCTCACCCCTTATTTCTCTTTCTCACTTATTTCTCTTTCCTCACCCCTTATTTCTCTTTCTCACCCCTTATCTCTCTTTCTCACCCCTTATTTCTTTTACTCTCACCCTCTCTCCTTATTTCTCTTTCTCACCTTTCTCCTTCTCACCTCTCTCACCCCTTATTTCTCTCTCTCACCCCTTATTTTTCTCTTTCTCCTCCCCTTATTTCTCCCCCCCCCCTACCTCCCTGTATAGTCCGAGGGTACAGGGAGCTTTTGTTTCCTGTACCCGGCCAGACTAACAGGAAGTGCACACTCTGTTAGTCCGGCCGGGTACAGGAGACAGCTGCTCCCTGTACCCGGGGACCATGCTGCAGTGAGGGAGCTGACAGGAGTGTCAGCCTCTCCTCAGGCTGCGCCCGGGCGGTGCGGTCCGCCCTCATGGACGCACCGCCCGGGCAATGCTGCAGCCGCCTGAGGCTCTTTACAGAGCGCTCGGGCGGCTGCAGCATGGGGGGGGGGCGGCGGGGCTGGTAATGGCACCCCCCACCCGGCTGGCACCCTGGGCGGACCCTGGGCGGACCGCCCCCCCCCACCCCCCTTTAGTACGCCACTGTGTGAGACTTACCTCTAAGGAGCTACATATCCACCAGTGGGAACTATACCGCTGTTCGCTGTTTTAATAAGAGCTGGTCTATAGCTCTAGCAAATGTGAGTGTGATCCCACATATCCTTGTTGTGTGTCCTACACTAATTATCTGGCTATCTGCACTATTACTGGTTATTTTCTGTTTTATTACATATACTCATCACCAACGAATGCCTGGACGAATCCAAGCCAGGATCTTCCAAAGAATTAAACTTAATACACACAGTATTTAGCGCAACCTGGTTTTTGTGTTTTGTGTTCTTTTGCTTCGTTTCAGTAAGGTGTTGGAGGTATTCCTTATTTTCAGTGTTTGCCGCTTAATTTACTGTTTATATTAATTGATTCCTTAGCACTTATCCTACCCTTCGTACTTGCTGCTCTAAGTTTACAGTGAGCTAAAGATCTAGGACGTAACAGGACCAGTTATCTGTTTGAAAGTCAGGAGGTGTAACAAGGTAATTTATAAAAGTGATAATTTCTGTTGAATTCTGCACTTTTTGTAACATGAAATAAAGAGGACACACTCTTGCCATATAAAACATTTTAGTTAGCAAATGTGCTTTAAGTGTTTAGGGTGTTCCTTTAAAAAAATGTTTTGTAATTGCTTGTTGCTGTTTAGCATTTCTCTAAGGCAGTGAAAGCCAACCAGATGTCTGTTGATTGCACGGAAAATGTAGTCCACAAATATGTGCATGGCTAGAATTTGCCTTTAGCGCTGTAGAAATTAGTGGGAAGATGCAAACCATTGCAAGATTATAAAATATTATAAAAGAATAAACAAATAGGATATAAAAATGTCATTACATAACTTGAGATGACCTGTAAGAAAGAGTAGTTGCCTCCAATTACAGATTCTCTTTGTATTCAGAAAATCTAAATTTTCAAAGAGTAAGATGGGAATATTGTGCCCAATTCCTGTCACGCTCTCTCTTGCTGAAGATAAAAAGCACGTGTGAACTGAATCTGCAACGTATATTTAACTACTCTAATGTTAGAGTATACAGAGAAACTAGGGCAAATACAAACAGAATACATCCCTTCAACAAGTAACACATGTAAGATATGGAGCAGCTTCAAAACCATCTACTTAAAACAATGTGTGCTAGAACTTCCTACTTATATTAACACGTTTTTACTTAACCTTTAACCAGTGAATCATTGGCATGCCAGTCTTCAGTATGCTTACATGTTTATGAAGTGCCTAAGACATTGAAGTATGTCTTTTATCCCCTAACATTATAATGGCCACACGCACATGTTGTGTGAAGTGGATTGTTCATGTCAAATATCGTCCCAGACTCAGTATAATCCTTCCAGTCCTCGCTTGTAAAACAAACTTCATCCATAAATCACATAAGCATCCTATTTTTGCACAAATGGCATCCCAGTGTATCAGACACTGGCTATGTTACACATTTTAATCTCTTATGTGTTGAACAAAAAACACACACACAAAAAATTATAACACAGCAATATCACTTATTCCACAGGATGCATCATTCAAAATTGTACAAAAAAAATAAAATTAGAATTTCAAAGCCAGTAATGAAGTCTAATGGAATTGGGGACACAGGGAGGTGATAAACATAATGGGCACATCAGGGCAGAGTGAACTGGTGGACAAAGGCAGGGAGGAGATCCTTATTATTCCTTTATACATCTGACAGGTATATACTGCTTTAGATGAGGTAAACAAATTACACTTCTAGGACCTTTTTCAACTCTTTAAAAAAAAAATTAAAAAAAAATTAAGGATGTACATTTCCCTTTCACATTACATATTCACTATTTCACTTACCAACACCTAGGCATACACACAAACACATACTCTAACCGCTATTTACACTTACTCAGACACCCAGCCAATACCAAGACTCCAACTCCAAGACACTCTGCTTAACCCCTTAAGGACCAAACTTCTGGAATAAAAGGGAATCATGACATGTCACACATGTCATGTGTCCTTAAGGGGTTAAACACATTGACACATCTGTCCAAACACATAAATACACAGTCTGACATCTACCCCCAATATACCATTACATATACCATCCTTAAGGAGCCGAGCCTAAACGCCGGCGGGCGGCATAGAAAGTCCCAGCTGTCCTTATTACTTATCCGATCGCCACCGTTCCCCTGCCAGCGATCGGTGTTGCTGCCGGTCTGGGAGAACTGCCTGACAACCCAGATAGAACCCCCTTGGCAAATTAGGCCCCTGTGGGACATGTGATTGCTCTGAAAGAGCAGTCACATGGCTGCAATAGGCGTCCATGTATCTACCTGCAGGGGGACTGCCTGGGCTGTCAGGCAGTCTCCCTGCTGCTGCTAAAAAAAATATTAGTAAATAAAAAAAAAACTATATATATATATGTATATATATATATATATATATATAATATGTAATAACAATATGCAATATAGAATATACACATAATTTTATTCTAACTTTATTCTAATATTCATATCAAAATACACAGAATGACATTATATATATCTACGTATATATAAATAAAAATAATAAAAAATATAACTCTATCATATACATAATTACATAAATAACTTCATAAATATACACGTAGACTTCAAATATATAAATATGTATATATATTTAAATTCTACATGTAAATTTATGTAATATTTTTACATAATTAAGTAATTGTATTGATTAAAATTTGAGGGAGCTGCCTGACAACGCAGGCAGAAAATGTAGAAAATAGAATTTGTTAGCACTATATTTAACCCTGTAACTTTCCAAGACACCATAAAATCTGTTCATGGGGGGTACTGTTTTACTCAGGAAACTTTGTTAAATACAAATATTAGTGTTTCAAAACAGTAAAACGTATCACAACAATGATATCATCGGTGAAAGTGCTGTTTGTGTGTGAAAAAGGCAAAAAATGTCATCATTGTGATGACAATGATGACATTTTTTTGCCTTTTTCACACACAAACAGCACTTTCACCGATGATATCATTGTTGTGATACGTTTTACTGTTTTGAAGTTAAGTTTCCCGAGTATAACAGTACCCCCCATGTACAGGTTTTATAGTGTTTTGAAAGTTACATTGTCAAATATAAGGCTTGCATTTCTGTTTTTTTAAATTGAAATTTGCCATATTGGTTATGTTGCCTTTGAGAGCGTATGGTAGTTCAGGAATGAGAATTACCCCTATGATGGCATACCATTTGCAAAAGAAGACAACCAAATAGGGTATGTTCAGTCTTTTTTAGTAGCCATTTAGTAACAAACATTGGCCAAAGTTATTGTTTATATTTGTTTTTTGCATTTTTAATACACAAACGAATATAAACGCTAACTTTAGCCAGTGTTTGTGACTTAGTGGCTACTAAAAAATACTGGACATACCCCATATTGAATACCCCGGGTTGTCTACTTTTGCAAATGGTATGCCATCATGGGGGTAATTCTCATTCCTGGGCTACGATACAGTCTCAAAGGCAACATAACCAGCCTGGCAAATTTCAATGGGTATAAATTGAAAAAGGAAACAAGCTTTATTTGACCCTGTAACATCCCAAAACACCATAAACCTGTACATTGGGGGTACTGTTGTACTCGTGAGGCTTTGCTAAATACAAATATTTGCATGTTATTGAAGTAAAAGCTAACAGTATGATGACAATTACAGTTAAAATGCCATGCAGAGCTAAAAAAATAAAATAAAAAATCTTAAATTCTCACACTTTTGTTTAGATTTTATTCACAATACCTTATGTTTCATATATGAATAGTTCATGTGAAGTGAAAGCCCTGTTTCTCCTGAACAAAATAATATATAATAAGTGTGGGTGCACTTAATATGAAAAAGGTGAATTATGATGTAACAGACATATAGCACAAATTCCACTTTTTGTTTAAATTTTGTTTTGATCACAACATGTACAACTGGCTCAGTCATTAAGGGGTTAATTGGAAAAATACACCCCCCACAATTAAAGGTTTAAATTGGTCAATGGATCTTTAATTTCAAACTCATTGTTTCCTTTATTTTTTTATTTTTTAATACTCTGTTTAAAAATTAAATGACTCCTTCTTCATATGCAATAGTAAGGGAAAAAAGTATTTGATCCCTTGCTGATTTTGGATGTTTATCCACTGACAAAGAAATGATCAGTTCATAATTATAATGGTAGGTGTATTTTAACAGTGAGAGATAGAATAACAAAAAAAAAAAATCCTGAAAAACGCATGTCAAAAAAGTTAAAAATTGATTTGCATGTCAATGAGTGAAATAAGTATTTAACCCCCTTCGACTTAGTACTTGGTGGCAAAACGCTTGTTGGCAATCACAGAGGTCAGACATTTCTTGTAGTTGGCCACCAGGTTTGCACACATCTCAGGAGGGATTTTGTCCCACTCCTCTTTGCAGATCTTCTACAACTCTTTAAGGTTTTGAGGCTGACGTGTGGCAACTGAAACCTTCAGCTCCCTCCACAAATTTTCTCTGGGATTAAGGTCTGGAGCTTCTTCTTGATTGACTCCTTTGTTGCCTCCATGTTGGCTGTGTGTTTTGGGTCATTGTCATGCTGGAATACTCATCCATGTCCCATTTTCAATGTTCTGGCTGAGGGAAGGAGGTTCTCACCTAAGATTTGATGGTACATGGCCCCGTCAACCGTCCCTTTGATGCGTTGCATTTGTCCTGTCGCCTTAGCAGAAAATCACCCAAAAAGCATAACGTTTCCACCTCGATGTTTGATGATGGGGATGGTGTTCTTGGGGTCATAGGCAGCATTCCTCCTCCTCCAGAGCTCGATGTTGGTCTCATCTAACTACAACACTTTCACCCAGTTCTCCTCTGAATCATTCAGATGTTCATTGGCAAACTTCAGACCGGCCTCTACATGTGCTTTCTTGAGCAGGAGGACCTTGCGGGTGCTGCAAGATTTTATTTCTTCGCGGCGTATTGTGTTACCAGTTATTTTCTTGGTGACTATGGTCCTAGCTGTCTTGAGATCATTAACAAGATCCTCCCATGTAGTTCTGGGCTGATTCCTCTCTGTTCTTATGATCATTGAAACTCTTGCATGGAGCACCAGACCAAGCGAGACTGACAGTTATTTTTTGTTTCTTCAATTTGCGAATAAACGCACCAACTGTGGTCACAGTGACGGTAGTCACCGTCACTGTGGATGTACGACAGACATTATGTGTGGGTCCACAGATTTCTTTTGTGTTTTGGTCACCCTGTGACCATTATTGGTGCAGGGTATGTTGAATGTATTGCTTCTCTGTGCCTCTCCCTCTTTTTCCTGTCCTATTGTCCTAGGGACACTGCCAGGCCAGTTTAAACTAGCTGCTTTGTCCCTCCTCAATCTCCCATCAGCCCTTGCTGTTGTCTGACCCCACCCTTCCTTGTACTGTAGTGCGTTATGCACCATTGTATGTAAATGAGGTTGTTTGGGGCCTAAATATGAGCTATGTGTTGTTTTAACCTTCACCAAGTGTCATCTGCTGTTTGGTCCATGGTGGAAAAAGCCCTCAGTGATCCCAGTCAAGCCTCTGCGACTGGGTCTGAAGTGCTCCTGTGTTCCTGATAGCTACAAGGAAGCGGACTTGGCTGAGGTACATGGTTGGAGTACTGGAGCTCCGTCACATTTGGTTTTCAGCTGTGGCATGAATTCCTAGCTATTATGGAAACATCAAGGACACAATCCCATCCCTGCACATTGTCTGGAACTCACAGACATGGATAGAGCTAGCACCCGTGCAGCTCCATCCGAGGAGGAGTTCCAGAGGAGACTACAGGAAGCTCTGTCTCAGTATGAGTACACAATCTCAGAAGAGAGTGAACTGGATTATAGGGACCAGATCCGAAAAGGCACTGTGGAACAAGTTACTTGAGGAAGTTCAGGTTCTCCGGAGGGAATCCCTCCCATCCCCAGAACAACGACCTCATGGTCAACTGGATCTGCAGATACATTTACTGGGAGAGCAGCCCCTGGGGGAAAGGGTGGTTGAACTTGAGCGACTGGTCTGGATGAAATTGTGGATGGACAGTAGTTACGATGGTATGCAGTCCAGCAGTACCCATGGCTAGCTGATGACGACCCTCCAGAGGGTGAGGACTATGGCCCTGGCCTATTGTGGAGGGGCCTTTGAGGAGGGGACTGATTTTGGAAGCCTTGCTGTTTTCTGACTCAGGGACATCCAGGAACTTAGAAGAGACCTCCTGGATCTATCTGAAGCTACAGACCTGGAACCTGATCTGACCTACCTGGCCACCCTGTAGTGGGAGCTTGAACAGGATGGCATGGAAACCCAGGGGGCAGAGTTACTGGGAATAGAGGTAGTCAGTCTCCCTCGCCAGCAGCAAAGAATAACCCCAGCTGAAGCGCTTGCATTGGGACAGAGTGCTGCTGGCCTCTCCCCTGAAATTGCAGCAACACTAGAAATTGAGAGCAGGGAGGAGTACGCCACTACCCCAGCTGAAGAGCTGGCATCTGGAAAGAGTGCCGCTGGCATCTGCATTCAACTTGAAGCAACACCGGAGCTGGCAGAGTAAGGAGATCAACCTACTGGTGAAGGTGGAGTTTGAGGAGTGCGCAACTCTCCCAGCTGAAGAGCTGGCATCGAGGCAGAGCACCACTGGCCTCTGCCCAAACTCACTGGGAACCTGCAAGCCTAATGCATCAGATAGAGCTGGCCAGATGGAAGAGCGTATCCCAGATCAAAGCACCGCTAACCTCATCCCTTCACCACAAGCACAGGGAGATCTTTATCCAGTACAGATGGGTGGGACTATGGTCTCTACCTGTGGTCCCCAGGGAGGCAGGACAGTGAGCTCCGATCCCCAACCCCATGTCAGCAGGGGCCAAGACATCTTGCATTCCCTCCAGTGGCTGAGAGAGATCCAAAGAGACGAGACAGTGGGCATGCATCACCAGCGGCAGGTATATGCTCCAAGAGATGCAGAGGTCGGCTGGGTGAGTGCTGCTCTTGCATGGGCAATTTGTATGGGGTCACCGATTTGGTGATGGCCTTGGTGGGCTGAATGTACTGACTAACTTCAGAGTCAACTGGTCTGGGGTCTCCTGTATTGGTCTCCTTCCAAAGGGGGGAAAAGGGTTCCAGATTTGCTATTGAGGTGTGTGGGTGTCATGATGGCCAACTGAGAGTGGAGTCATTTAGGGATAGGTTTGAGTTTGGGAGGGGGGCCATGGCAGATTTATATTATAGGGCCTAGTAGGGGCCTGCCCAAAGCAGACTTCCATGGACTGATCGGCTATGAGGGCTCCACGCGCCCAGCCGGTACAAACTTACAAACTATGTGGAACTTTGTAGAGGAGGCTTCCAGGATGGATTGACTTTATGGGACTTGTTACCTGACTAACTCAGGCACAGACTGATTAGAGGTCACCTTCTCACCAAGTTGATTGGCAATGGTCTTGTAGCCCATTCCAGCCTTGTGTAGGTCTACAATCTTGTCCCTGACATTGTTGGACAGCTCTTTGGTCTTGGCCACGGAGAGTTTGGAATCTGATTGATTGCTTCTGTGAACAGATGTCATTTATACAGGTAACAAGCTGAGATTAGGAGCACTCCTTCTAAGAGAGAGCTCCTAATCTCAGCTTGTTACTTGTATAAAAGACACCTGGGAGCCAGAAATCTTGCTGATTGATAGGGGATCAAATACTTATTTCACTCATTGACATGCAAATCAATTTATAACTTTTTTGACATGTGTTTTTCTGGATTTTTTTTCTCTCATTGATAAAATACAGCTACTATTAAAATTATAGACTGATCATTTCTTTGTCAGTGGATAAACGTTCAAAATCAGCAGGGGATCAAATACTTTTTTCCCTCACTGTACCTATTATTTTTTTTTAAATCCAGCTTAGAAGCGTAGATTGTTTTACTGCTTCTCATTTTTTTTCCACTCTGTTGGTCAGCTGTCACTTGATTTGTTAATAAAAGCATTGTATTTGTTGTCCCCT